CACACTTAAACCAAGATGGCTGGGGAATTTTGAGAGTTGAAGTCCACCCATTTTGAAGCATGGTGGCTGGGGGATTCTGGGAGTTGAATTCCTCACACTTAAGCCAAGATGGCTGGGGATTCTGGGAGTTGAAGTCCACCCATTTTGAGGCATGGTGGCTGGGGGATTCTGGGAACTGAATTCCTCACACTTAAACCAAGATGACTGGGGGATTCCGGGAGTTGAAGTCCACCCATTTTGAAGCATGATGGCTGGGGGATTCTGGAACTGAATTCCTCACACTTAAACCAAGATGGCTGGGGAATTTTGAGAGTTGAAGTCCACCCATTTTGAAGCATGGTGGCTGGGGGATTCTGGAGTTGAATTCCTCACACTTAAGCCAAGATGGCTGGGGATTCTGGGAGTTGAAGTCCACCCATTTTGAGAGCATGGTGGCTGGGGATTCTGGGAACTGAATTCCTCACACTTAAACCAAGATGACTGGGGGATTCCGGGAGTTGAAGTCCACCCATTTTGAAGCATGATGGCTGGGGGATTCTGGGAACTGAATTCCTCACACTTAAACCAAGATGGCTGGGGAATTTTGAGAGTTGAAGTCCACCCATTTTGAAGCATGGTGGCTGGGGGATTCTGGGAGTTGAATTCCTCACACTTAAGCCAAGATGGCTGGGGGATTCTGGGAGTTGAAGTCCACCCATTTTGAGGCATGGTGGCTGGGGGATTCTGGGAACTGAATTCCTCACACTTAAACCAAGATGACTGGGGGATTCCGGAGTTGAAGTCCACCCATTTTGAAGCATGGTGGCTGGGGGATTCTGGAACTGAATTCCTCACACTTAAACCAAGATGACTGGGGGATTTTGAGAGTTGAAGTCCACCCATTTTGAAGCATGGTGGCTGGGGGATTCTGGGAACTGAATTCCTCACACTTAAACCAAGATGACTGGGGGATTCTGGGAGTTGAAGTCCTCACACTTAAGCCAAGATGGCTGGGGAATTCTGGGAATTGAAGTCCATTCATCTTGAAGTATGCTAAATGGGGAATTCTGTAACTTGAAGTCCACCCATTTTGAAGCATGGTGGCTGGGGGATTCTGGGAGTTGAAGTCCACCATTTTGAGGCATGGTGACTGGGGGATTCTGGGAGTTGAAGTCCACCCATTTTGAGGCATGGTGACTGGGGGATTCTGGGAGTTGAAGTCCACCCATTTTGAGGCATGGTGACTGGGGGATTCTGGGAGTTGAAGCCCACCCATTTTGAGGCATGGTGACTGGGGGGTTCTGGGAGCTGAATTCCTCACACTTAAGCCAAGATGGCTGGGGGATTCTGGGAGTTGAAGTCCACCCATTTTGAGACATGGTGACTGGGGGATTCTGGGAGTTGAAGTCCACCCATTTTGAGGCATGGTGGCTGGGGGATTCTGGGAGTTGAAGTCCACCCATTTTGAAGCATGGTGACTGGAGGGTTCTGGGAGCTGAATTCCTCACACTTAAGCCAAGATGGCTGGGGGATTCTGGGAGTTGAAGTCCTCACACTTAAGCCAAGTTGGCTAGGGAATTCTGGGAGTTGAAGTCCACCAATCTTGAAGCAGATCATAAAAGTGCTAAGATTAAGAAACCTGTGGTAAAGGAAGAACAGGAAATGGGGAAAAAAATCACGTTCAAATCCAGTGTAGGTGCAAAGGTCACAAGTGACCTGGACTTTATGAAAATGACCACCAGGTTATGGGGGCGGGGTAGGGCTCCATCTTGATCTCATGAGACCCCCAGAGGCACCTGGTTGTCTGCTGAAAAGGCTGGATGAAAACAGGCACTGGCTATCTTCTTATCCACCGAGCCCTAGCCTACCTCACAGGGTTGTTAGGAAGATACGAGGGGGTTCAAAACCAGTTCCCTGCCCTGACCAGCTTATTCCTTCCAAAAAATAAAAGGAAGAACAGGACTCAGAGGTTGCAACATGAGTCAGCAAACCTGACACGCATGCAAATTGGACATATGCACAATTCAGAATTTATAATAAACGTGTCGGAAAGAACAGAGTGTTCTGCAGGATGGATTTTGAGCTTCTGCCTTTAGGCGATGGAGACTTGGCAGATCAGCCTTTCTCCAACTTTTCCAGTTGGATTGCGTGCTGAAACAGACAAAGGGAGGATTAATTTGGGGGCAAAAAAACCCTCCCAGTTTAGTCTCCTCTCAGTCAGCTGGAAAGAGCAGGTCTGGTCTGGCCTACATAGTAGATAGCGAAACAGGAAGACTGGGCTGAAAGAATCAGAATCAGAATAGAGCCGGAAGGGACCTTGGAGGTCTTCTAGTCCAACCCCCTGCTCAAGCAGGAAACCCTATACCCATGAGGGCGAACCTATGGCATGCGTGCCACAGGTGGCACACGGAGCCATATTAGTGGGCATGCGAGCGTTGCCCTAGCTCAGCTCCGGTGCGCATGCATGCGCCGGCCAGCTGATTTTTGGGCCTTCTGGGCCCACTGGAAGTCAGCAAATGGGCCATTTCTGGCTTCTGGAGAGCCTCCAGTGGGGTGGGAAAGGCTGTTTTTGCCCTCCCCAGGTTCCTAGAAAGGCTCTGGAGCCTGGGAAGAGCAAAAAACAGGCCTTCCGATCCCACCAGAAGTCGGCAAATGGACCATTTCCGGCCTCCGGAAGGCCTCCAGGTGGGGTGGGGAAGGCTGTTTTCACCCTCCCCAGGCTCCAAGAAAGCTTCTGGAGCCTGGGGAGGACGAAAAATGGGCCTACTGGGCCCACCGTGCCATCGCGTGGCAAAAGTGGGGGCAGTGCAGGGGGTGGTGTCACGTGTGCATGCGTGGGGGTGGAGGTGAGCACGCACGCATGTGACTCCCCCCGCACTTCCCCCCACTTTTGGCATGCAACGGCCATCACAGCCCTATACCATTTCAGACAAGTCTGGAAGCCCAGTCTTTTCTTAAAAGCCTCCAGTGATGGAGCACCCACAGTTTCTGGTGGCAAGCTGTTCCACTGGTTAATTGTTCTCACTGTTAGGAAAGTTTCTCCTTTAATTCTAGCTTGCTTGATTCGGTTCCATCCGTTGTTTCTTGTCTTCTGGTGCTTCGGAAAATAGGTTTGGTTTCCCGCTTCTTAAGTTATGGGAGTCCCTCAGGGAAGGTTTCAAGAAGAGACTGGACTGGCCTCTGTCAAAAATGGTGTAGGCTGTCTATGGTCGACCTCACCCCATCCCTAAGAGGTCTGTAAGGGGTGTGCATAAGCGCACCAGCGTGCCTTCCATCCTTGTCCTACAGTCCCCATTTATACATATCCATTCCATGTATTCATAAGAGGGGTAAAATCTGAACCGGTTTGCTACCAGATCGCTGGCCGTGCATGCGTGCTGGGCACCAAACATGCATGCATGCACACCAAATGCTCACTGCGCATTATGCATGCATGCACACAAACGCTCATTGTGCATTAAATGCACAGTGCGCACCAAACATGCATGCATGCACACAAACTCTCACTGTGCATTAAATGTGTAGAGCGCCCAAACATGCATACATGCACAAAAAACACTCATTGCGCATTAAATGCGTAGTGTGCCCCAAACATACATGCATGCACACAAACGCTCACTGCGCATTATACATGTATGCACACAAACGCTCACTGCGCATTAAATGCATAGTGTGCCCCAAACATGCATGTATGCACAAAAACTCTCACTGCATATTAAATGCGTAGAGCGCACCAAACATGCATACATGCACAAAAAACACTCAATGCGCATTAAATGCGTAGTGTGCCCCAAACATGCATGTATGCACAAAAAACTCTCACTACACATTAAATGCGTAGAGCGCACCAAACATGCATACATGCACAAAAAACACTCAATGCGCATTAAATGCATAGTGTGTCCCAAACATGCATGTATGCACACAAACGCTCACTGCGCATTAAATGCGTAGTGTGCCCCAAACATGCATGTATGCACAAAAACTCTCACTGCACATTAAATGCGTAGAGCGCACCAAACATGCATACATGCACAAAAAACACTCAATGCGCATTAAATGCGTAGTGTGCCCCAAACATGCATGTATGCACAAAAACTCTCACTGCGCATTAAATGCGTAGTGTGCCCCAAACATGCATGTATGCACAAAACTCTCACTGCACATTAAATGCGTAGAGCGCACCAAACATGCATACATGCAGAAAAAACTCAATGCGCATTAAATGCGTAGTGTGCCCCAAACATACATGCATGCACACAAAACGCTCACTGCGCATTAAATGTGCAGTGTGCACCAAACATGCATGCATGCACACAAAATGTGTGCTGCATGCACATGCACAGTGCGCACCAAACGCACATGTTTAAAAAGCTACCAGTTCAAGAGGAGCAGTATGAGCCAAAGGGAGGCTTGGGAAGGTAAGTGGAATAGCCAGTGGAGGAACAAGCTGTGGCGCACGGTTCAGCTTTGCTAGAAAGTAGGAAATCCTGCTTTCTAGGAAAGTTAAACCGCACGGCACAGGTGATCGTCAGATCATAGCTTTTTTTAACTACTGATTCAACCAAACCGGTAGTTTTTATCTCTACCGTTTCGCCCGAACCGGGCCCGAACCAGTAGCATTTCACCCGATTCATAATCATGTTTATACTTATATCTGTTATTTTATACATGTTTGACAAATAAATAAATACGTAAAAATAAAGATATCCCAGCAGGAAAATTGGAAAGCTGCCCCTAAATGGGGCATTACATTTCTTTTCCATTAATTCTCCAAAGATCCAGCTAAATTCCTCTGAACCACAGAGGATTCCTAAATTCCTCTGACTCCTCTGAGCCGCAGAGGCTTATTAGCATCAATCCCCTGATTTCAAACTCGGAGTCCCTGAATCTTAGCTGGCAGGCAGGTGTGAAGGGCTGGTTGAGAAGTGGGTGGAGAGAGGAGGAGGAAGGGGAAGGCTGGGCCCAGGTGAGAAGAGGCAGCCAGGTGAGGGAGGTGGGTGGGTGGGGAGCTCAGACGGCTGAGACGTAGACGGCTGAAGAGAACAAACCGGCTGCAGACCACCAGGTGAAAACTGCAGACCACTCAGGCGTTCTGGTAAGTGGCTAAAAGAGAGTTGGGGGTCCCGTCGGCTGGAGATCTAATGCAGATCGACTTTGGGATCTCAGCTGGGGAAGGGGATTTCAAAGGGAAGACGAAGGCATCCGAGCAGATGCTAAATCCCACGAACTGCCGAAAAATACCTACTGTATTTTTCGGAGTATAAGACGCTGCGGACTATAAGACGCACCTACCTTTTTTGGGGAGGAAAACAAGAAAAAAAAAATCTGCCTCTGCCTCCCAGCAATTCGTCTCCTTGCAGCAAACAGCAAACAGCCTGTTTCATTTTCATTTTCATTTTCAGCACAGCCTGGTTAGCACAAGAACAAAAAATCTGCCTCTGCCTCCCAGCAATTTGCCTCCTTGCAGCAAACAGCCCGTTTCATCTTCATCTTCAGCACAGCCTGATTAACACAAGCAGCTGATTGTCGGTTGGATTGGCCTCCCAAAGATCAGCTGTTTCAGGCTGCAGGGATTGTCATAGCCTATTGCCACATCTGTGTGCCCCATTTTCTGGGGGGGCGGCGGGAGGGGAAGGCTACATTCGGTGTGTAAGACGCACCCAAATTTTCCCCCTCTTTTAGGGGAGAAAAAAGTGCGTCTTATACTCCAAGAAAATACAGTAATTCTGCATTTTTCTCCTACAGCAGCATGGGGAAAAAAATGACTTATTTATTTATTTATTGAATTTCTATACCGCCCTTCTCCTGAAGGACTCAGGGCGGGGAACAGAATAAGATTTCATATACATATAATATATTTTTTTTATAAACAGTAAATAATAAATGGAGTCAACTTAGTGTATCTGCTAAGACCTTGGCATAGAATTTAGATGTTTATGCTAGCCCTGCTATGACCGTTTTTCAACCATTAGCAGCGTCCCCAGTCACACACACACACACACACGATCACAATCCAGACGCCCGGCAACTGACTCATATTTATGACAGTTGCAACATCCCAAGGTTACCTGATCCCCTTTTTGTGACCTTCCAAAGAGCAAAGTCAATGGGGGAAAAGCCAGATTTACATAACCACAATGTCACTCACTTAACAACTGTGGCGAGAAAAGTTGTAACGGGGAAAATTCACTTAACAACTGTCTCGGTGAGCAACAGAAATTTTGGGCTCAATGGTGGCTCTAAGTCGAGGAGTATCTGTATCATTCTGAACAGGTGGCTGTCCGGTTTCTCCTGAAAAGCCTCCAGTGACGGAGCATCCATAACTTCTGAAGTCAAGAGACGTTCCACAAGTTAATTGTCTGGAAATTTGTCCTTAATTCTACAGTCATGGCCAAAATTGTGGAAACCTTTTGGGAAAAGTGTATTTTCTAAAACTACCTAATAACACCGCTTTTTTTTGGAGTAGCACCATAAAATTATATATCAATGGAAAGATAATTTAATTAAGAACGTGATGCAATAACTTTTATGAAGGATTTGCTATCAGAATAGCAGTTACAGTATAAAGAAGAAAAGTGAAACACGTAGAAAAAACAAGATATACAAAAACGATCACCATAGAAAAAATGAGATATAGAGAAATTATCACTATGTCAGTTAATCCTTCGTTGGGTAACTTTTAGCATGAATGACGGCCTTACAACGTCTTCCCATGGAGGGAACCAAGTCTTTTAGTTCTGCAGCTGTTCTCATGTGAAACCAAGATTGAATGATGGCTTCTATTAACTGGGTTTTATTGCTGAGTCGCTTCTGATTAACCAGTTTCTTTAGTCGGCTCCATAGATTTTCAATTGGGTTCAGATCTGGGCTGTTCCCAGGCCATTCCAGCAGTGGAATAGGATTCCCCCCCCCAAAAAAATCCATCAAACCTTAAAAATACATTTTTCCCAAAAAGTTTCCACAATTTTGGCCATAAACACTATTTGTTTATCTGGTCCAGAAGAAAGCAACGTGGTAGTATAATAACAGGGAGTAGAGAATGATCTCCGAGTTCCAATAATTTGTTTAGTGACCTTCAAAGTTGGAACTGAAAAACCACTTATGACCAGTCCTTGGAGGGTTGCAGCTTCCCCAGGGAGACACAATCAAATACCAATCGCGGTTAATTTTTCTGTTTTTGGGAATCTGAGTTCAGAATGTAAGATTTGAATAATTTTTCTGGAGAAACAACAACCTTGTAAAGTAGCTTGGCTCAGCTTAAGAAATGCTGGCTGGGTAGAAATTTGAACCCCGATGTTACTGGTTTTGATCAAAAGCATGAACCTGCTACCGGCGATGGGTTTCACATTTTGTTGCTACCGGTTCGCCCCGCGCGGGCATGCTCGCTTCACACGCCTCAAAACCGTGCCTAAATAGGATGGCATAGAACCTGGGCAGGTGGGGTGGCCCCACCCACGATCTCCGCTACCAATTCGCCCGAACTGGTACGAACCGGCTGAATTCCAATTCTGACTGCTACATAAGACGTCCTTGGCAGAGGTGGGTTTCAGCAGGTTCTGACCAGTTCTGGAGAACCGGTAGCGGAAATTTTGAGTAATTCGGAGAACCGGTAGTAAAAATTCTGACTGGCCCCGCCCCCATTTATTCTCTGCCTCCCGAGTCCCAGCTGATTGGGAGGAAATGGGGATTTTGCAGTAACCTTCCCCTGGATTGGGGAGGGAATGGAGATTTTATCGTATCTGCTAGGAAATGACTATTACCTAATTTGTTGGGTTGGCAATATATAAACCCTCAATGTAGCTTTAAGACTGCTGAATTGCATCACACTGTGTCCTGATTGGTTAGCTCTGTAGCCAATGTCCTTAAGAGGGAGCTAGAAACATGGTTTGTTTCTCTTTGCTGTTGTTGCTCTCTGATATCTCAATATGCTACTGTTTGCAAATCCAGAAGAACTGTTTATTGTGAATGACTACGACAACTGGTAAGAAGACTTTGTTATTGGATTATCCCTGGACTGTCGTTTTGGCTATCTCCTGCTTTATATGTGTTTGACCTGGACTGTTTATTGGACTGTGCCTTACTATTTCTTGAAAGTAAACACAACTCAGTGTATCTGTGTGTTGGCTGTGTTTCTTTGTAACTACTCTCAATCGTGTGCACACCCTTGCTACTCAAGGGTTACTCTGCGAATTCCTTACCATTATCCTTCCCCTGCCACACCCACCAAGCCACGCCCACCAAACCATGCCACGCCCACCAAACCACACCCACAGAACCGGTAGTACAAAATTTTGATACCCACCACTGGTGCTTGGTGATCTTTATTGCTGCAGCTTCGCACCGAATTTTGCTAATTACTGAACTTCTATTTTTCAGAGGTTCCACAGAAATGCCGAGGTTCTTCTGGGCCGCCGTCTTCTCTTGCCTGTTGGCCACAGAAGTCTGGGCTCCCAAAGCTGCAAGACTCGGTTGCCACCTGCACTGTAAGCTTTCGGGGGGGGGGGGTTGACAAATGGACAGACAGACAGAGAGACAGAGAGAGACAGAAGGAGCGATAAAGGAGAAACATTAGCACGGACGCTGCAACCTAGTTTGGCTAACAGCAAGAAAACAGCCAAGCTCAGGGAGCAGCTCCAAGGACCTCTCAGACAGGGAGCAGAATTCGAATTGCTTTAGCATGGAGATCCTTCTGGTTCATGTCGTGCATTCACCATAACAGAGTGTTTGCTGGCTGCCAGAAAAAAAGCCTAGAAACTAGTGGATTGTGATTTCACTGAACTAGGGCTGCATAAAAATCTTGGTTTACGTAGGAAGAACTTGGCTAAATACACATTAAAGCCTATGAAAAGGAAAGAAAACAAATATATATATATTTGTTTTCTTTCGCGTAATGGGATGAGCTCCCATGACTTGTCCCAGCTTCTGCCAACCTAGCAGTTCGAAAGCAGGTAAAAAATGCAAGTAGAAAAACAGGGACCCCCTTTGGTGGGAAGGGAACAGCCTTCCGTGCGCCTTTGGCGTTGAGTCATGCCGGCCACATGACCACGGAGACGTCTTCGGACAGCGCTGGCTCTTCGGCTTTGAAACGGAGATGAGCACCGCCCCCTAGAGTCAGGAACGACTAGCACATACATGCGAGAGGAACCTTTCCCTTTACATATATACATATATACAGTACATATATACATATATGCATAATCATCTATCTATCTATCTATCTATCTATCTATCTATCTATCTATCTATCTCCACCTCCTTCCCTCCCTCCCATAGTTGTGGGTGCTCCAATACTGGAAGAAGAGACTGGATATCCATTTGTCCAGAATGGTGTAGGGTCTCCTGCTTGAGCAGGGGGTTGGACTAGATGACCTCCAAGGTCCCTTCCAATTCTGTTATTCTGAATTCTGTTTCTTCTCTGCCCTCTTTCTAGAATCTCAGCTCTAGAAAACACAATAAATCTGCTTTCCTAAACAGAATCCTTTTGAACAGGGGTTCCCAACCTTGGGCCACTTTAAGACTTGTGGACTTCCACTCCCAGGATTCCCTAGTCAGCCATGCTGGCTGGGGAATTCTGGGAGTGGAAGTCCGCAAGTCTTAAAGTGGCCCAAGGTCGGAGATCCCTGGTTTAAACCCAAGAAAGCTGAAACTGACCTCTCTAGGAGAGAGAATCTCCTCCCTCTTTAAATCTCTATGCTTTCTATACCCTCCCATCACTGCACGGCTGGCTGGGGAATTCTGGGAGTTGAAGTCCACAAGTCTTAAAGCGGCCATGTTTGAAGACGTCTGTATTAGATTGATAATATGAGAAAGTAGTATGAATGTGAGATGAAGCACAAAAGATTTGTAACCGAACGACACACTGCTTGCAATTGTAGTGGATGATGGATGCTTTATGTTTTGTTTAAAAATAAATAAATAAATAAAAAGATGATGGGAGTTGTTGTTGTGGATTTAATAAGACCAACACAACTTTTGAGGGTTAATCAGAGACAAAGTATATTGCGCAATAGGTTCAAAGCTCTGTACATGAAGCGTTGAACAAAGACAGAAATTAGGTACAATGGTTTTTATACCCTTCTAGACAAAGGATTCTGTTAACTCAGCAGTTTATGTGATCATATACATTTGTCATATTTAATTGACACTTTCATTTTATTCTTTGCCAACAGTCATAATTCTTTTAGCCAATTACTGAAGCATAGATTCAAATTATCTCTTGTTAATATTACATGTGGTCATACTTGATCTCTTTAACCTTCATACTGTATATCACCAAATGCTCTCTGACAACTGAGGGGCCTCTTTGTGAATGTTTCTACTTCAAAGGAATACTCTGCCTTTCATCTGGTTAACTGGCTTCCCTTAAACAAGCACATTTCCTTTCTTACAATAAAGAGGGCCCTTCAGTGATCCTCCAGCTGGACCCGCATTTACCTACCTACATTATTGTAGTCCGTCCCAGACACCAATGCCGTTCTGTTTTTCTTCTTCTCGCTTAGCTTTCAACGTCACCATCCGGAGTGACCGACAAGGCGCCTGCAGGGCCACCCGTGCCGTCCAAGCTTGCGTGGGGTATTGCGAGTCCAGCGCTTTTCCCTCCAAGTATTCGGTGCTTCTGGCCAGCAGCTTCAAACACAACATCACCTCCGTCTCCCAATGCTGCACCATCAGCCAAATGCAGACGGTGAGAGCATCCAGGCGGGCTTCTTCCCAGTCCTCGACTTACAGCCGTTCACTTAACGACCATTCAAAGTTACGACCGTTTTCAGAGTTGCGACCTTTGCCATATTCCCTCCTCCCCCCCAGTCATCTGATCAAAATTCCAGACGCTTTGGCTCATATTTACGACTGTCCCCCTTTTGCGACCTTTCTGCGACAAGCCAAGTCGATGGGGAAGCCGGATTTCACACTTCACGACCACGTTAATACCTTGACACCGGCAATGGTTCGCTTAACAACGGCGGCAAGAAAGGTGCTAAAATGGGGCAACATTCACTTAACAAATGTCTCACTGAATAGCAGGATTTTTAGGCTCCGTTGTGGTCGTAAGTCGAGGACTACCTGTGTTATGGAATTCCGGCTGCTTATACAGGGAGTCCTCAACTTATGACTATAGTTGAGCTCAAATTTTTTTGCTGCTAAGTGGAACATTTGTTAAGTGAGTTTTGCTTCATTTTATTTATTTATTTATTTATTTATTTATTTATTGATTGATTGATTGATTGATTGATTGATTGATTGGTTTGATTTATATGCTGCCCTTCTCCGGAGACTCAGGGCGACTTACAATGCGTTAAGCGATAGCCTTCATACTTTTGTATAGACCTGCTTAGTAGGGCTTTTGCCCCCCCCCCAAGCGGTGTTCTATTTTATACAAAGTCAGCTTATTGCCCCCACAATCCGGGTCCTCATTTTACCTACCTCGGAAGGATGGAAGGCTGAGTCAACCTTGAGCCTGGTGGGATTTGAACTCGCAGTAATTGCAGGCAGCTGGTGTTACTTAACAGTGCTTTAGTCTGCTGCGCCACCAAGGCGTAACTGCACTGGGTGGGATTTATTGTCTATATTTTGCACGGTTCTGGAAAGAAAGCCTGAGCTGCAAAGAAAGAGCAGGAATCGGGGCGATCTAATATCAGTGATGTCAAACGAGTTTTGTTTTTTTGTTTTGCGTTGTCCTCTCCAGGTGAAACTCCGGCTGCGTTGCAGTCTCGGCTTGCAGAAAACGGTGGACATTTTCACCGCCAAGACCTGCCAGTGTGACGTGTGCCGCCTCTCCAGATATTGAAGCGCCTCGGATGATTTCTGCAGCCACCAACAAGGTCTGTGTTTCTCAACCTCAGAAACTTTAAGAGGGGTGGACTTCAACTCCCAGAATTCCTCAGCCAGAATGCTTTAAGATGTGTAGACTTCAACTCCCAGAAGCTTTGCTGGCTGGGGGATTCTGGGAGTTGAAGTCCACACATCTTAAAAGTTTCTAAAGTTGAGAAACTCTGGAGGAAATGGACATTCTGTGGGGCTGTGCTTGCCAAGTGACCCGTTTGTGTTTTTCTAAAAAAGATGCTTTTAATTCTGTAAGAAATTACAAGGGGATTTCTGTGTATGAGGGAAGCCAGGTTGTGCGTGGGATCCCTTGAGTGCTTGGGGTAACTCGATGGCTGAATACATTCTGTTTTTTTTACAATGGTTAGGTGTGTTTTGGTTTTTGCTGTTTTTTGTTGTTAGGTTTTAATGGTTGGGCGCTGCTCGACTGAAAGAAGGAAGGAAGGGAAGGAAGGAAGGAAGGAAGATGGAGAGAGGCAGAGGGAGAGAAGGAGGGAGGAAAAAAGAAGGGAGGAAGGGATGAAGGGAAGAAGGAAGGGAGGGAGGGAAGGAAGGAGGGAAGGAAGGAAAGAAAAAGAAGGGAGGGAGGGAAGGAGGGAAAAGGAAAGAAGAAAAAGAAAAAGAAGGGAGGGAAGATAGAGAGAGGCGGAGGGAGGGAAGGAGGAAGGAAAAAAGGAGGGAGGGAGGGATGAAGGGAAAAAGGAAGGAAGGAGGGAAGGAAGGAAGGAAAGAAAAAGAAGGGAGGGAGGGAAGATGGAGAGAGGAGGAGGGAGAGAAAGAGGGAGGGAGGGAAAAAAGGAGGGAGGGATGAAGGGAAGAAGGAAGGAAGGAGGGAAGGAGGGAAAGAAAAAGAAGGGAGGGAAGATGGAGAGAGGAGGAGGGAGAGAAAGAGGGAGGGAGGGAAAAAGGAGGGAAGGATGAAGGGAAGAAGGGAAGAAGGAAGGAGGGAGGAAGGAAGGAAGGAAAAAGAAGGGAGGGAAGGAAGGAGGGAGGAAGGAAGGAAGGAAGAAGGAAAGAAAAAGAAGGGAAGGAGGAAAGGAAGAAGGAGGGAGGGGAAAAGGAGGGATGAAGGGAAGAAAGAAGAAAAGGAAGGAAAGGTGAGGGAAAGACAGAGGGAAGAAAAAAGGAAAGGAAGGAAGGAGAAAGGAAGGGAGGGAGGAAAGAAAGAGGGGAGAAGAAAAAAGGAAGGAAGGAGGGAAGGGAAGGAGGAAAGAATGAAGGAGAAAGAAAGGGAGGGAAGAGAAAAAGAAGGAAGGAAGGAGGGAGGGAGGGAAGTCCTTTCTACTCCTAAACAAAACCCAAATTAAATCTGCCATCGATGAGAAATCCCTTCTGAAGGGACTGTGTGAACATCCATCCATGTCCCTCCCCAGAGACACGGCCAAGACACTCCATGTGTCACATCAGGGATGGGACTTGGAGTAGCACAAAACATTTACCAGCTGTGCCTTTTAAAGGGAGGTTTTTCCTGGGATCCTTCCTGCAAGAGCCAATCACACAAGGCAGGGAATTGCTCCACTCGTGCTGAAATCTTGGAATCCTCCTTTCTCGCCAGAAAGGACAACCGAGGCAGAATCCTGCTCACTCATCTTCCCCAACCCCCCCAATAACAGTCCAGAGCAGGGGTCTCCAACCTTGGCAACTTTAAGACTTGTGGACTTCAACTCCCAGAATTCCCCAGCCAGCAAAGCTGGCTGGGGAATTCTGGGAATTAAAATCCACAAGTCTTAAAGTTGCCAAGGTTGGAGACTCCTGGTCCACAGAGATCTTGGGATGTTCAGTCAGACCAGAAATGCTTTAAGCATCCTCCATTAAGAATATATATATATATATAGGGATTAATTTTAGTTTTGCCCGATAAAACGCAAAATGACTCAATCGATTCAGAAACAGCAGGAGGCTTTCAAAGGCATCTGCAATGAACCACTTTTGCTAAAATGATCGTTGAAGCGTCTTTCCAAGTGGGAGCAGTCAATGCAACGTGACTCTCAAACAAGGCTTTGGACATTCGGAAGCACAAAAGACCCAAACTTTTGCAATGCGATTCTCTAAAACTGATTTCAGTGAAACCAGGCTTCGGAGCAGGGACTGAGAGAGGGATCTTGGGAGTCTTAGTGGGCAGTCAGCTAAATAGGAGCCAGCAGTGTGCAGCGGCAGCCAAAAAAGCCAATGCAATCCTAAATTGAATTAACAGATCTTGATTAACAATCAAGATCAAGGGAGGTACTAATACCACTCTATCAAGCCTTAGTAAGGCCACACCTAGAATCCTGCATCCAATTTTGGCCACTACACTATAAAAAAGAGGTTGAGACTTTAGAAAAAGTGCAGAGAAGAGCAACCAGGATGATTAGGAGAATGGAGGCTAAAACATACGATGAACAGTTGCAGGAACTGAGTTATGTCTAGTCTAATGAAGAGAAGGACCAGGGGAGACAGGAGAGCAGCCTTCCAAAATTTGAGGCGCTCCTACAGAGAGGAGGAAGGGGGTCAAGCTATTCTCCAAAGCACCCGAAGGCCAGACAAGGAACAATGGATGGAAACTGATCAAGGAGAGATTCAACCTGGAAATAAGGAGGAATTTTCTGACAGTGAGAACAATCAACCGATGGAACAGAAGTTGCCTTCGGAAGTTGTGGGAGCTTCATCCCTGGAGGCTTCCAAGAAGAGACTGGACTGCCATCTCTCAGAAATGGTGTAGGGTCTCCTGCTTGGACAGGGGGTTGGACTAGATGACCTCCAAGGTCCCTTCCAACTCAAACAACAAATTTGTTGTCAAGTGAAACATTTGTTGAGTTTTGCCCCATTTTACGACCTTTCATGCCACAGCCGTTAAGTGTGCCACTGCAGTTATTATTAAACACCCCCCCCCTTGACTTTGCTTGTCAGGAGGTTGCAAGAGGAGATCTCGTGACCTCGGGACACTGCAACGGTCATAAAATAGGAACCAGCCGTCAAGCAAAACAAAAATGTGACGCATGACCGTTTTTCACACTTAACGACCGTTGCATGATCGTCTTGATTAAAATTCAAAGATGATGATGCAACGGTCGTTAAGTGTGAAAAACGGTCATGCGTCACATTTTTTCAGCACCGTCGTAACTTGGAGTGGTCACTAAACGAACCGTTGTTAAGTCGAGGGGGCTACCTGTGGTTTTTCCAAGATGCAGGGAAAGCTTCAACACTGTGTGGGGTGGGTGTGCGTACAATTTTCTTATTCAGTGTTGTTGTTTCCACCTGTTGTGAGTGTTGAAATCGTTTTTTTACAAGGGCTTCAGCCGTAGAGAAGGCTGGGAGTCTACGATCCAACCTCTTTTGCTTCGAGCAGGAGACAGCTAGGAATCTCACCATCATCATCATCACCACCACATTCAATTCTCGGAATCGAAGTCCTTCCATCCAGTCTAGAGAAAACAAGGACTTGGGGTGGGGGTGGACATGATAGCAGTCTTCCAGTATTTGAGGGGCTGCCACAAAGAAGAGGAGGTCAACCCAGAGGTGAAATCCAGCAGGTTCTGGAGAACCGGTAGCGGAAATTTTTTGAGTAATTCGGAGAACCGGCAAATACCACCTCTGGCTGGTCCCAGAGTGGGGTGGGAATGGGGATTTTGCAGTATCCTTTCCCTTGGAGTGGGGAGGAAATGGGGATTTTGCAATATCCTTCTCCCAGGAGTAGGGAGGGAATGGGGATTTTGCAGTATCCTTTCCCTTGGAGTGGGGAGGAAATGGGGATTTTGCAATATACTTCTCCCAGGAGTAGGGAGGGAATGGGGATTTTGCAGTATCTTTCCCCTGGAGTGGGAATGGAGATTTTGCAGTATCCTTCCCCTGGAGTGGGATGGGAATGGAGATTTTTCAGTATCCTTCCCCTGGAGTGGGGAGGGAATGGGGACTTTGCAGTATGCTATAAAACTAACTATAAACTTGGGTTTGGCCAATCTAGAGAAAAGAAGAATTAGGGGTGACTTGATAGCAGCATTCCAGTATTTGAGGGGCTGCCCCAAAGAGGAAGGGGATCAAATTATTCTCCAAAGCACCTGAAGGCAGGAGAAGAAGCAACGGATGGAAACTAACCAAGGAGAGAAGCAACCTGGAATTAAGGAGAAACTTCCTAACAGTGAGGACAATTAACCAGTGGAACAGCTTGCCACCAGAAATTGTGGGTGCTTCATCACTGGAGACTTTTAAGAAGAGACTGGACAGCCACCTGTCTGAAATGGTATCTGAAAAGGGAGGGCGGGGGTCTTGCGCGCGCATGCCCATACCCATAATTCAATGCGCCCCCCCCCGCACATATGACTCCCCCTCTGCACGACTCCCACTTTTGGCATACGATGGCATGGTGGGCCTGGTAAGCCTGTTTTTTCACCCTCCCCAGGCTCCAGAGTTTTTCTTGGAGCCTGGGGAGGGCGAAAACAGCCTTCCCCATGCACCCAGAGGCCCTCCGGAGGCTGGAAATGGCCAGTTTCCTGACTTCTGGCGGGACCAGAAGGCCCAAAAATCAGCTGGCTGGCATGCACATGTGCGCTGGAGCTGAGCTCATGTGCCCACAGATATGAGCACCCATGCCATAGGTTTGCCATCATGGGGATAGGGTCTCCCGGGCTGGACTAGAAGACCTCCAAGGCCCCATCCAGCTCTATTCTGATTTTATTTATTTATTGGTTCGATTTATATGCCGCCCTTCTCCGGAGACTCAGGGCGGCTTACAATGCGTTAAGCAATAGCCTTCATACTTTTGTATATATTTATACAAAGTCAGTTTATTGCCCCCACAATCCGGGTCCTCATTTTACCTACCTTGGAAGGATGGAAGGCTGAGTCAACCTTGAGCCTGGTGAGATTCGAACTCGCAGTAATTGCAGGCAGCTGGCAGCTAAGTGCGACTTAACAGCAGTTTAGTCCGCTGCACCACCAAGGCCTTCCTACATTTGTGTTTTTTTTGAAAGTTTGAAAGTCACTTCTCTGCAGACTTGAGTGAGGCCCCTGCCCCACTCCGGACCCAGATCAGCCCCCCACACACTTACTTGTGACATGAAATTTTCTCTTTATTGAATACAGAGTCGTCCAGCAAAAGGAAGACGGGGAAGAGGGAAGGTTCGTGATCCAGGAAACTGTTCATAAATAGACTCGACCCCCCCTCCCACTCGCACCCTCCCCCCACAAAATATCTCTCTTGCAGCCCCCTCCCCAGGTTTACCCTGCCAGCCCCACTTCAACCACCACCATCAACCCTTGGAGGCCCTCCCTTCCAAGTGCTTTGGGGGGGGGGGTGTCTTCTCCTGTGAAAACTACACCGGTGGGGTATTACTAAATCCGATTATATAGGAGAAGAATCCGATCCGAGTGGCCTACTAAAAAATAAACTGCAATGGAAGCCGTGTGCCCTTTCCCCATCCCACCCCCCGCATCCCCACCGAGGGTCTGTTTTTGGGTACCAAGACTGTGTTGAGGTGATCATACCTAGTGGGAGGGGAGAGGAGGGGTCTTTCACCTCGCACTCATCTCCCTCACACATACTCTTACACACACACAAACACGCAAAGAAAGGAGAGAAAATTGTTAATTTGGAAGAAGAACAGAATAACAGTCGGAAGGGACCTCGGAGGTCTTCTAGTCCAACCCCCTGCTTAGGCAGGAAACCCTACACCACTAGCAATAGCACTTAAGACTTATATCCCACTTCACAGTGCTTTTACAGCCCCCTCTAGGCGGTTTACAGAGTCGGCCTCCTGCCCCCAACAATCTGGGTCTCCTCATTTTACCGACTTCGGAAGGATGGAAGGCTGAGTCAACCTTGAGCCGGTCAGGATCGAACTGCTGGCTGTGGGCAGAGTTAGCCTGCAATATTGCATTCTAACAGGGAAGGAAGGAAGGAAGGAAGGAAGGAAGGAAGGAAGGAAGGAAGGAAAATAGCAGACTTATATCCCGCTTCACAGTGTTTTACAGCCCTCTCTAAGCGGTTTACAGAGTCAGCATATTATTCCCCCAACAATCTGGGTCCTCATTTTACCCACCTCGGAAGGACGGAAGGCTGAGTCAACCTTGAGCCTGGTGAGATTCGAACTGCCAAATTGCAGGCAGCCGGCATAACTAACCTGCAGTACCGCACTCTAACCACTGCGCCACCGCACGACTAAACTACGGTTCAAAGAAATCCGGATTTGGAAGGAATTGTATAGAACGGCAGCCTGTGGAACAGTCTGCCACATGAAGTGGAAAGTTCTCCTTGGCTAAAGGTCTTTGACTGGAGCCCCCTCTTTTCAGAGATGCTCTCCTGGATTCTACCTAAAGCAGGGGGTTGGAATAGGGGACCTGGGGGCTTCCTTCCATCCCGAGGAGTGTCCTGGGGGGGTGGGAGAGAAGATACTATGCCAGTTGCCGCCATAGTGTGGCACTTAGGGTTGAGGGGCCCTTTTTTTAAAAAAAAAATGATTTATATGCCGCCCTTCTCCAGAGACTCAGGGCGGCTTACAATGCGCTCAGCAATAGCCTTCATCCTTTTGTATATTTATACAAAGTCAGCTTATTGCCCCCACAAACTGGGTCCTCATTTCACCTACCTTAGAAAGGATGGAAGGCTGAGTCAACCTTGAGCCTGGTAAGATTCGAACCTGCAGTAATTGCAGGCAGCTGGTCTTAATAACAGGGTGCATTAAACCACTGTACTATCAAGGCTCTTGGTGCTCTCTGAGCTTGCTTGTTTTCCTGAAGACGTTTCACGACCCAAGGAGGTAACATCCTCAGTGCCATCAGCAGCCAAAAAAAGCGAATACAATCCTTGGTGGCATAAAGAGGCATAGAATCAAAATTACATGCAGTACCGCTTTATAAAGCCTTGGTAAGGCCACAGCTGGAATACTGCGTCCGGTTTTGGTCCCCACGTTATAAAAAAAGATTGGATCAATTTATTTGTGGGTTCGATTTATATGCCGCCCTTCTCCGGAGACTCAGGGCGGCTTACAATGCGTTTAGCAATAGCCTTCATACTTTTGTATGTTAAGATTTTCGAAAAAGTGCAGGGAAGAGCAACTAAGACGATTAAAAGGCTTGGAGACTAAAACATACGAAGAACAGCTGCAGGATTTGGGTCTGGCTAGTCTAGAGAAAAGAAGAATTAGGGGTGACATGATAGCAGCATTCCAGTATTTGAGGGGCTGCCCCAAAGAAGAGGAGGGGGTCAAATTATTCTCCGAAGCACCAGAAGACAAGAAACAACGGATGGAAACTAATCGAGGAGAGAAGCAACCTGGGATTAAGGAGAAACTTCCTAACAGTGAGGACAATTTTACCAGTGGAACAGCTTGCCACCAGAAATTGTGGGTGCTTCATCGCTGGAGGTTTTGAGACTGTCTTTGAAATTGTATAGGTTCTCCTGCTTGAGCAGGGGGTCAGACTAGATGACCTACAAGGTCCCTTCCAACTCTGCTATTCTATACTATTCTATAACCACAGCTTACCACCAGAAATTGTGGGTGCTCCATCGCTGGAGTTTTTAAGAAGAGACTCGACAGCCACTTGTCTTAGGAAATGGTACAATTGAGCAGGGGGCTGGACTAGAAGACCTCCAAGGTCCCTTCCGGCTCTATTCCGATTGATTGACTAGCATCGATGTGACCTAGTTGGATCGTGACACGTATGCAAGAGAAGCACCAAGCTCAGAGAGCACCAAGGACCTCGCAGTTCCAACTGGGAGCTATAAAAATTAGGGTGTTTTTTATTTTTATGCTTCTCCGCTCGGTCCCCATGCAGGTGCAGCGGGGATGAAGAAACCCACTTCGGGTAGCTTTCCAGATGTTCGGTGTCTCTGAGCAACCCAAGCCAGATGCTGAGAAAGGAATCCATTTGCTTCCCAGGGGTTCTTATGAGCATCCTTCTCCCGCCCTCCCCAGCAAGGACCACTTGAGAGGCTGCTGCGCTGGGTTTCCTGCATTGTCCTCCTGCGATGAGATTTTGGTGGCTGAGAATGACTCTCCTGCGTACTCAACACGCACAACGGGCACTCACGCAAACACACACACACACACACACACACACACACACCAAGCGAGATAGGCAGAGAGCCTGCTGCAACGCCTTTGAGTTGTCCTATCCAGCAAATATGTCTTCCGCCAAGGTCAGGAGCCCAGGGAGGAGAAGGAGGAAGGGGAGGAAGGAGAGAGAAGGGAGGCAGAGGAGGAAGAAGAGGAGGAGGAAAAAGGAAGAGGAGGAGGAGGAAAGAGAAAAGGAAGAGCAGAAGAAGAGGAAGAGGAGGAGGAGGAGAAAGGAGAAGGAGGAGAAAAGAAGAGGAAAGAGAAAAAGAAGAGGAGGAGGAGGAAAGAGAAAAAGGAGGAGGAGAAGGAGGAGGAAGAGAAAAAGAGGAAGAGAAAGGAAGAGGAGGAAAGGAAGAGGAGGAGGAGGAAAGAGAAAAGGAAGAGCAGAAGAGGAGAGGAGGAGAAAGGAGAAGGAGGAGAAAAGAGGAGGAAAGAGAAAAAGAAGAGGAGGAGAAGAGGAGGAGGAAAGAAAAGAAGAGGAGGAGGAGAAAGGAGGAGGAAAGAGGAGGAGGAAGAGAAAGGAAGAGGAGGAGGAGGAAAGAGAAAAAGGAGGAGAAGGAGGAGGAAGAGAAAAAGAGGAAGAGAAAGGAAGAGGAGGAAGAGGAAAGAGAAGGAAGAGGAAGAAGGAACAGGAGGAGAAGGAGAAGGGAGGAGGAAAGAGAAAAAGAAGAGGAGGAGGAGAAAGGAGGAGAAGAGAAAGGAAGAGGAGGAGGAGGAGGAAAGAGAAAAAGGAGGAGGAGGAGGAGGAGGAAGAGAAAAAGAGGAAGAGAAAGGAAGAGAGGAGGAGGAAAGAGAAGGAGGAGGAGGAAGGAACAGGAGGAGAAGGAGAAGGGAGGAGAAAGAGAAAAAGAAGAGGAGGAGGAAGAGAAGAGGAAGAGAAAGGAAGAGGAGGAGGAAGGCAGCTAGGGAAAGAGGAGGAGAAGAGGAGGAGGAGGAAAGAGAAGGAGGAGAAAGGAGAAAGGAAGAGGTGGAGAACTGAAGTACGCTTACTTTGGCCCTCGCAATGTGCACACTTTCCTTCGCTCTGACCCTGTGTGTGTGTGTCTGTGTGTTTCTGAAACCCTCTGAGGAACACAAAACCGAAGGGGGCACACACAGACACCTCACTGCCCCATGTGCCCTGCCCCCCTTCCCCTCTCCCCCCCCCCCGAGCTGCAGAGGACATAGTGAAGACCGCCTGCAACCTCTCTCTCTCGCGTGCACAACCACACAACCAGCCAGACACAACTGCAAACCCACACGAACAAACTGCTGGGGAGGGGGGGGAGCAATTTTTTTTTTCTCCACACAAGCCCACCACCACACAGGGCCTCTCCCGGGGCGGCACCCCCTTCTTCCATGGCAGGGCATGCCCCCCACCACCCCGCAAACGAGGAGATTGGCCCTTTGGGGAAGGAAGCGTGGGGGCTTAGGGGGCAAGGAGGGGCTCTACAGCCGTGAGTTAGGGGCTGCACTACTAAGTGGGGGGGGGGCTGCATTTTCCCTGCCCCGGAGGACCGCGGGAGGGGGAGAAGCACTGTCCCCCTGCCTCCCCGTCGGGTATTGCACTCCAATTCTCCCGTTCCACCTCACCTACCCACAAACCCTGGTTAGTCATTTCCCCCCCCCCCCCCAAATTGTCTTTGCAAGATTGTGGCTCCCCTATTATTTACAGGCCCATCAGTTTTAGGAAAGGAGGGGGGGCATCGCAGCCCAGCCCCCCCCCCTCCACTGCCCGGCCCCCCAAACTCTCATCCTTCGGTTTTCCGGCTGGCCTCGCGGTGGGGGGCAGCCGAGGACGGGAGATCCGACTCGGCACACGATGTGGAGGGGTGTGGGGAGGAGAACCAGCTGTCTCGGCCTGGGAGGGGTGGACCGTTCCCACCGCCCACGAGGGTGGGTGTGGGGGTGTCACTTCCAGGGGCGGAGGAGGGGCTCCTAGCTGGCTAGGGTGCGTTGCAAATTCAAGCGGTTCATCTTGGCTTCTTCCAAGCCTTGGAGCTTCTGCAGCTGAAGTTCGTCCAGATGCCTCCAGAGCTCCTGGCGTTCCTTCTCCTTCTTCAGTTCCCTGCAGGGAGGGGAAGGAGGAGGAGGGGGAGTCAGGGGCAAAGAAGGAGGCTTCCCGTTCAACACCTGCCCCCCCCCCGCCCCCCGCCCAACCACCCCCCACCACGTGCCCAGAAAAATGACAAAATTCAGAATTACACAATTAACAAGAGTTGGGAGCAACTTTGAAGGTCTTCTAGACCAGCGGTCACCAACTGGTGGCCCGCGAGAAAATTTTGGTGGTCCGCAGAAAAATAATTTGCATTTTTTAATATTGCACTAACTCAGGGGTCCTCAAACTACAGCCCCTTGGCCGGATACGTGCAATGAACGGTTGTGTTGCTGCAGAGAGTCTCCCCCTTTGGGGTCTTCTTGTGAGGGTCGGAGGGGGGCAGAAATTCCGACTTGGGGTCTGCTTCGGCCTCCTGGTGGGGGGCTTTGGGCGAAGGCTGGAGGGAAGCGCCGCTGGTGGAGAAGAACCGGAGGGCCTCGTTCCAGTGGGACAGCATCGTGGCCTGGAACTGCCTGACCATCACAGCCGGCTGAGCCTCCAGGCGCCGGTACCTGGCCTTGCATTCCCACAGGTCTTCCCTCTGCTTGGAAAGCCTAAGCTCCTAGTCCTCAGTGAGGTGCTTCTGCTGAGCCTCCTTCTCGGCCAGATCCAATTTGAACTGAGCTGTTTTGCCAACTCTTTCTCCTGGTGGCTGCTTAGCTCCAGCAACTGCTTTCCTGTTGGGGCCCTAAGGAGCCCGGGCGAGGAGGGGAGGGGCGAGCAGAGGCCGGCGAGGCATCCCTCGATGGGAGTGACATTGAGTTGACCCCACCCACCCAGTCACATGACCACCTAGCCACGCCCGCTCACCCGGTCATTAGGCAGATCATACTAGTGGTCCATGGGATTTAAAATTATGGATCCCTGAGGTCCGAAAGGTTGGGGACTCCTGTTTTAGAGATTGGACAGCCATTTGGCCAACCCCCCCCCCTATATCTACATCGGGGTCCCCAACCCTCGGGCCGCGTTCTACTACTGGCCCATGGCCAATTCAGAACCAGGCCATGTGAGCAACAGGCTGGCATGTATGTGCACGCATGCAAACGGCCCAACCTGCGTGACATGTATACGTGGGCACACACTGGACCGCCACTCGTGCGGCCTGATTCCCCCTCTCCCCCGCTTCCAGCCGGGCCACCAAGCCACAAAAGTTGGGGACCGCTGACCTAAATGACCGGTCTAACGTGGAGTTTACTAGATTGCATTTCAGAATAACAGAGTCGGAAGGGACCTTGGAGGTCTTCTAGTCTAACCCCCTGCGCAAGCAGGAGACTATTTAAAAACTTCCTGATGTTTTCTGACTTTGGAGGTTTACACACACATACACACACAGAGAGAGAGAGAGAGAGAGACAGAGAGTCTTATGAGTGGTTTAGCCAATTTTCTTGCATACTCAGCCTGGAAATAAGGAGGAACTTCCTGAAAGCGAGAACAATTAACCAGCGGAACAGCCTGCCACCAGAAGTTGTGGGTGCTTCATCACTGGAGGCTTTTAAGAAAGAGACTGGACAAGCCATTTGTCTGAAATGGGACAGGGTCTCCTGCTTGAGCAGGGGGTTGGACTAGAAGACCTCCAAGGCCCCTTCCAACTCTTGTTATTCTGTATTTTATCCTTGGCATCCCTTCTGACTCCGCAATTCTGTGATAGTTGACTGAACCATTAACTAGCTCAATGGGCTGCCTTTGTACAAGATGCCAATTCCATCCCCTATTCACAAAACCAAGCCAAGCTTAGAACTGGGCCTGGCTGGTCTAGTGAAGAGAAGGACCAGGGGAGACAGGAGAGCCTCTTCCAGTATTTTGAGGGGCTGCCCCAGAGAGGAGGAAGGGGGCCAAGCTATTCTCCAAAGCCCCTGAAGGCCAGACAAGGAATAATGGATGGAAACTGACCAAGGAGAGATTCAACCTAGAAATAAGGAGGAATTTTCTTACAGTGAGAACCATCAACCCATGGAACAGAAGTTGCCTTCAGAAGTTGTGGGAGCTTCATCACTGGAGGCTTTCCAGAAGAGACTGGACTGCCACCTGTCAGAAATGGTGTGGGGTCTCCTGTTTGGGAAGGGGGTTGGACTAGATGACCTACAAGGTCCCTTCCAGCTCTGTTAATCTGTAATCTGTAACTTGAAGGCCTGTGGGCTTCAACTCCCAGAATTCCCCACCCTCATCTCCTCACCCCCACTCAAACAGTTCACACCCTCGCACAAACACACTTACTGCTGCTTCTCCACCTTGTAGGAGGCAGTGAGTTCATCGAAGAGCTTGCCGTTCATCTCCATGAAGGTCTTGAGGACGTTGTAGACCAGGGACACAATAGTCCTGGGAAGAGAGGTGGGATGGGGAGGTGAGGACAAGGAGAAGACGAACCTGGGACACATGGGGAGGCCCAACATCCCTACAGTCTTACAACTACGACAACTTGCCATGGCCAACTCACCACAGCCAACCAGCCATGGTCAACTCTTCATGGCCAATTCACTGCAGCCAACTTGCCATGGTCAACTCTTCATGGCCAATTCATCACAGCCAACTAGCTATGGTCAACTCTTCATGGCCAATTCACTGCAGCCAACTAGCCATGGTCAACTCTTCATGGCCAACTCATTGCAGCCAACTTGCCATGGTCAACTCTTCATGGCCAATTCGCTATGGGTAACTCACTGTGGGACAAGAATCACACAAACATTGAAGAAGTGGTTGAAAGAATCATTAAGGATGCCAAAGAAGGGATGAAATAAAATGCGAAGGACCAAAATTATAATATTTTTTAAATTATTTGAAATAACTAAACTGAATTCTTGGATCGTCCCACGGTGAGTTGGCTGCAACGAGTTGTCCCATTCCGACTGACCGAGAGGACAACCTATACCAGGTTGTAATTTCTTGGAGTGGGAAGCGGGCTTTTTCCAGTGGTGAAATCTAAAATTTGTTACTACCAGTTCTGTGGGCATGGCTTGGGGGGTGGGTGGGTAATGTGACTGGGTGGGCGTGGCCAACTTTTTAAAAAAAACCCTTTAAAACCATTTTTTCTACAACCTCTTCAATGAAGAGTTGCCTGATTGGCAGAGGCTTTTTTGTCTTTTAAAAGCCTCTGCCAATCAGGCAACTCAGCTACGATCGTCAGAGGCTTTTAAAAGCATTTTTTCTACAACCGTCTTTTAAAAGCCTCTGACGATCCCAGCTGAGCTGTGTGATCATCAGAGGCTTTTTTTTTTTTTTTTTTACTTTTAAAAGCATTTTTTTCGGCCGAAGAGGTTGTAGAAAAAAATACTTTTAAAAGTAAAAAAAAAAAAACATCTGATGATCGCGCGGCTCAGCTGGGCATGGGGGGGGAGGCAGGGATTTTTGCTACCGGTTCTCCGAACCACCCGCCGCCATCGCTACCGGATCGGACGATCCGATCCGAACTGGGAGCATTTCACCCCGGCTTTTTCCCAGGTGAGTTTTCTAACTTTTGGGGAAGTCTGAGGAAGTCCTCGTTCTCTGACCAAGTCCTCCCCGGTGCCGTGCCTGCCAGACTCACGGGTTCCAGTGCTCCTTGGAGACGCGGTAGAGCGTGCCGAAGATGGTGGGCAGCACCGTGTGACAATTGTCCTCCACCAGGCTCAGGATGTATTCGTTGTTCCAGAAATAGAGCGCCCGTTCGGCCACCTGTTTTTGGGGAGGGGGGTACAGAGCAACAGCCGTATTTGAAAGCCCATTTGAAAAGTCCCCGACCCAGCCGCCTTCAAGCTGGGCAGTCCTCGATTTACGACCACAATCGAGCCCAAAATTTTCTGTTGTTAAGTGAGACATTTATTGAGTTTTGCCCCGTTTCCCCTTCTAAGCAAGACGGTTGTTAAGTGACTGTTATCCCGTTTTACGACCTTTCTTGCCATGGTGGTTAAGTAAATCACTGTGGTTGTTAAGTGAGTAACCTGGTTGTTAAGTGAATCTGGCTTCCCCCGTTGGTTTTTCTTGTCCGACGGTCGCAAAAAAGGGATCCCGTGACCCCAAGACACTGCTACCGTCATAAATACGAGTCAGTCGCCAAGCGCATGAATTTTGATCACGTGACCACGGGGAGGCTGCAACGGTCATCAGTGTGTGACTAACGGTCGTAAGTCACTTCTTTCGGCGCCGTTGTAACTTCGAACGGTCACTAAATGAACGGTTGCAAGTCGAGGACTACCTGTAAGGCGGGCTTTGAATTATGACCAATGGCTTAACGATGGTTCAAAGTTACGACGGTCTCAGAAAAAGTGACTTATGACCCATCCTCAAAGTTACAACCGTCGCAACTTCTCCCCTTCGGTCATTGGATCACATTTCATCCTGATTGGCAATTGTGCGTGTTACAGTCGCAAACCACCTACCTGTTGTGGTTCGCCAGCAGTCTGCGGAGCTGGCAGCGGAGTCGGACAGTGAGGAGGATGAGGAAGAACATGGGCCAGTCCCGGAGGCTGGGGAAGGCCCGGATGAGGGCTCTGCATCGGAGGCAGAGATGGGGCCAGGGCCATCGGGGAGTGAGGTGCGGACTCCGGAGCCTCCAGAGGCTGACAGCAGAGAGGCAGAGGAACACGAGGAGCCTGTTCCTAGTACACGTATGAGAAGAGCTGCCAGAAGGCAAGAGCAGCTCGAGCAAAGTGGACGACTCAGGAGTAAGGCCAGGAGATGATTGGCCCCTCCCATAAGGCTTAAAAGGCCAGCAACGGCTCTTGGGCTCTTTGACGGAAAACAACTATTGAGAGAATTGCTTCTTGTTTCACTGTATTCATTTCTTGTCGGCGTCTTCTGCTTCTGAGCTTTTGCCAAGAAAAGCCTTTGGCACTTTGCCTAATTATCCCAAGGTCGGTGATAAACTATGGAATGGTGTTTTGAAGAATTTGCTTTCGTTTAGTTTGGAGGACGCTGAGAAGGAGTTAATTCTCAGCTGTTTTTTTTAATTTTTTAATTTATTTTTATGTGCCGCCCTTCTCCGGAGACTCAGGGCGGCTTACAATGCGTTAAGCAATAGCCTTCATCCTTTTTGTATATTTATACAAAGTCAGCTTATTGCCCCCACAAACTGGGTCCTCAATTTACCTACCTTAGAAAGGATGGAAGGCTGAGTCAACCTTGAGCCTTGGCGAGATTCGAACCTGCAGTAATTGCAGGCAGCTGGTCTTAATAACCAGCTTAATAACAGGGTGCCTTAGACCACTGTACTACCAAGGCTCTTTTGGAACTGTTTGTACTTAATACTAACTACTTGGGCCTGGGGTCACAACACTACCTGGCTTCCCATAAGCAAAATCAATTTGGGGAGGGAGCAAGATTCACTTAGCGACCACGCGATTCACTTAACAACCATGCGATTCACTTAACGACCGAAGTAAAACTGGTTGTGAAAATGCAGTCCCGGTGACTGGACGACTTGCTTTAACGACCGCATGGCTTGGCAACTGAAACTCCATTTGTAGTCGTAAGTGGAGGACGACCGCAAAGATGGTTTCCCCCTCCCCGCCCTTTTTGCTCGGCGCCCCCTCCTCCCCAAAGCACCTGGAAGTGGGGGCTGGCGATGCATCGCGCCACTTGCTTGAAGAGCGGCTCCTGGATCTTCACGAACTGCGAGGGCTCGATCACATCCAGGATCTCCTCAATTTCCCCCAAGAGCATCACCTGATCGGGAAGGGGGGAGAGGGAGGGGATGAAAGGAGGGGGAGACCCTCTGGCTGATGCCTTTGCGGGGCCTGACCCCCCCTCTATGCATGCGACAACCCCCCCCCACCCGCTGCCCAGCCCTTCGGTACCTCTTTTTGAGTGCAAGTCTTTGGCCAGTATTTCAACAGGCCCCGTATCACCTGCCGAAGAAAAGAGAAAATATTGATTGATTGATCGATTTGTATTGAGCGTACGGCATCTGTAGAGGTCATGAAATCGCCGATATTCATATTTAGTTTAAATAGAGCGTCAGCAAATATGTGTGCTTGCGTGTGTATTATCTGTATATATCTATATACATACATACGTAGACATAGAGCAGGGGTGAAATCCAGCAGGTTCTGACAGGTTCTGGCGAACCGGTAGCAGAAATTTTGAGCAGTTTGGAGAACCAGCAAATTCCACCTCTGGCTGGCCCCCGAGTGAGGTGGGAATGGAGATTTTGCAATATCCTTCCCCTGCCACACCTACCAAGCCACGCCCACAGAACCGGTAGTAAAAAAAATTGGATTTCACCAGACATATACATATACATATACATATACATATACATATACATATACATAACATATACATATATATATATATATATATCTAAATGGATGTTCTATCCCCGTCTCACACACACACACAAATAGTCAACCAGGGGTTAAATAAAACTTGCAGACAATAAATTCCTTCGATAACAGGATTGGCAGCAACCCAGTAGCTGCTTGCCAAGAACTTTACTCACAGAGGGAGGTGTTCCTCCTCCGTCAGATAAACCAAAACAAATGCACAAAGCCACAGAATTGTCAAGTCCAGTCCGTATTAATCCAAGGCAGGCAGATAACGTAGTTTCAGAGATACAATGCGACTCGCTAGTTGTTTAGTTTTGTCCGTCACAGAGCCTGAATGGCCACCATACCCCTTTTATCCCTGTGGGGTGTGGTCTAGTGATTCAGCTTAATCTCTGGCACGCCTCCTTTTCTGCTGCGTGCGCTTGTCTCTCCGACGCTGGTGTGGATCCAGCCAAGACTTATCTCCGTCACTGTCTGACTGCGACTGTTCGGAGATACCTGGTCCTGGCCAATCTCTTCTCCCTCGGGAGACACCTGAGGCATTGCCAGAGAGGAGGGTCCTGGAGAGGGAGGCCTGGCCAACTCCTCTCCTTCACCTTCGGAGTCTTCTCCCTCTGATAAGACGGGGGGGGTCGGAGTCACAACAATGGATGGTTGTAAGTTGAGGACTACACACACACACACACACATATTGTATGTGGGAGAAATGGCATGTCAATACGCACATACACACTACATATATACCGTTGTTTCCCCAAAAATAAGACCCGGTCTTATATTAATTTTTGCTCCAAAAGACGCATTAGGGCTTATTTTCCAATTAGTCTTATTTTCGGAGAAATATGGTACATACATACATCTTATATTCTCTCTCCTCTTCTCTCTCTCTCAAATAAATATAGTATATAGTATATTATATATATATTATATAATATATATATATTATAACTTACAACCATCTGTTTAATGTTTAAAAAAAACCTAAAACCATTTCTAACTCAAACTTTTTAAGCAAAGCACTTGAGGGCAGGACAAGAAGCAATGGATGGAAACTAATCAAGGAGAGAAGCAACTTGGAATTGAGGAGAAACTTCCTAACAGTGAAGACAATTAACCAGTAGAACAGCTTGCCACCAGAAGTTGTGGGTACTTCATCACTGGAGGTTTCTAAGAAGAGACTGGATGGCACCTGTCTGAAATGGTATAGGGCTTTCCTGCCTGAGCAGGGGGCTGGACTAGAAGACCTCCAAGGTCCCTTCAAGCTCTATTCTGATTGATAGTGACCAAAGTTGCAATGGCATTAAAAAAGTGACTTATGACCGTTTCTCCCACCTACAACTGTTGCAAGCCTCCCCATGGTCACATGATCAAAAATCAGATGCTTGGCTCCTATTCGGTTCGTACTTATGACGATTGCAGTGTCCCAGTAATCATCTTTTGCGACCTTCTGACCAGCAAAGTCAACGAAGAAACCAGATTCACTTAACAACCGTTTTCCTAACTTAACAACTGCAGCGATTCACTTAACAACTCAGGCAAGAAAGGTCGTAAAACGGGGCAGAACTCACTTAAATGTCTCACTTCACAAAAAATGTCTCACTTTATTAAAAAAAAACAAAAACAACAACCCCTGTGTGAAATTGCTCAATCGTGGAGCAATTGTGGTCATAAAACAAGGACTACCTGTATATATATATATATATATATATATGTATGTATGTATGTATGTATGTATGTATGTATGTATGTATGTATAAATAACGTTGCTATAAGAAAAACTTTTAAGGTACTGGTAGGATTTTAGCTGAGGTTTTAAAGACCTTGCAGAGTGCTCTGTAAGGATTTTTAGAAGATTTTAAGCTGGGATTTTAACCAGGATTTTAAATATTTTAACCAACTTATTTACAATGACACGGGAAAACACCCGAGATTTTAATTTTTTGCATATGCACACCCGCGAAAACTTAAGAAGACAAATATATATAAATAAATATATATATAAGTGGACAATAAAATATGAGAGATAACCTATTAAATTCAGATTAAAACCATATTATCACCATAAAATGGAGCCCTAGAATTGCAATGGGACAGATGTTATCATTCAAGAGAGAGAGAGAGAGAGAGAGGGAGAGAGAGAGAGAGAGAGAGAGAGAGAGTGTGAGTGAAGGAGAGGAAAAATATTGGAATTTTAAGCCAATTTTTGGAATTTTTCACTTAGTGGGGTTGGGCAGCTCTAGAAACGCAAGGAACGAGCGAAAAGAAAACTCCGGCTCTTGTTCGAAGGGGCTGCTGCCCCGCTGCCAAATCTTCCCCCCCCCCCCGCTGCAGCCGTGCCCCCTGCCCCGCTGCTTGCCCCCCCTGCCCCTTGCAAAGGCCAGACTTACGTGCTCGGTCAGCGTGGCGTCTTTCTCCAAGAACTGGACCACGCAGTAGGCCAGCTGCAAGAGAGGAATCCGGGTGAGGAGGTGAGGAGCCTCTCTGAACCCCGGAGCGCCTCGAGGGCTCGTCTCCGGCACCCACCCACCCCCGGGGTTGCTGGGTGCCAGGCGCTGCCAGGCTCACCTGGGCGTGGAAAATGGAGAGCGATTTGACGGAGTGTAGCGGGATCAGAACCCGCACCAGGAACTGCTTGTGTTCCGCCTTCAAGGGCAGCGCGAAGCCGTTGATGATGCTGAAAGAGAAGCCGGAGGGAGGGGGGTTTTAAGGGAGGGAAGGTCATCCCTGCAGGGTTGTTGTTGCAGCAGCCAATTTCTCATATCGGTGTCGGGGGAGCTAAATCAGGGCTTCCCAACGAAGCAGCTTGGATGAGTGGACTTCAACTCCCAGAATTCCCTGGCCAGAATTTCTCAGAGGTTGAGAAACATTCAGATGGATGAATTTAAGAATTTAATCTCCAGTTTTACAATTTTCTTTTGCCTTCCTTCCTTCTTCTTTCCTTCTTTCTTTCCTTCCCTTTTTTCTTCCCATCCTATCCCCTCCTTTCCTTTCTTTCCTTCTTTTCTCTTTCTTTTCTTTTTCTTTTATTCTTTCCTTCCTTCCCTTTTTCTTTTTCCTTCCCATCCAATCCCATCCCCCTCCTTTCCTTCTTTCTCTTTCCTTCTTTTTCTTTCATTCTTTCCTTCCTTCCTTCCCTTTTCTTTTTTTTCTTTTCTTTCTTCCCATCCCATCCCATCTCATCCTATCCCATCCCATCCCTTCTTTCTCTTTCTTTCTTTCTTTCTTTCTTTCTTTCTTTCTTTCTTTCTTTCTTTCTTTCTTTCTTTCTTTCTTTCTTTTTTTTCTTTCCTACTTTCTCTCTCTCTCTTTCCTTCCTTCCCTCCCTCCCCTCCAGGAAACCCTACACCTCTAGCAATAGCACTTAGACTTATATCCCTTTTACAGCCTCCTCTAAGCAGTTTACAGAATCAGCCTCTTGCCCCCATCAACAATCTGGGTCCTCATTTTACCCACCCTGGAAGGACGGAAGGCTGAGTCAACCTTGAGCCTGGTGACATTCGAACTGCCAAATTGCAGGCAGCCGGCAGAAGGAGCCTGCAGTACCGTACTCTAACCACTGCGTCACCGCACGACTAAACGACGGTTCGAAGAAATCCGGGTGAGGAAGGAATTATATAGAACGGCAGCCTGTGGAACAGACTGCCACATGAAATGGCAAGTTCTCCTTGGCTAAAGGTCTTTGACCGGAGACTAGAGGGCCCTCCTTTCAGAGATACTCTCCTGGCTGAGGAACTCTGGGAGTTGTAGTCCCCAAGTCTTAAAGTTGCCAAGGTTGGAGACCCCTGCTTTAAAGAATTGGGAAAGATTTACCTCCCAAGGATTTCCAATAATTCAGCCACTCCGTTGAAATGTTCGGTCTCGTAGATAAACCTGTTGGGGGAAAGGAAAGGAAGAAACAGGGAGGGTTTTATTCTCGTCATTGTCTTCCCCAAAGATCTTCCCTTTTCCCATCATCCTCACCTTCTCAAAACACAACAGGTAGGTCCGATATTTATAGCAACCCGTTTACCCACCATTTGAAGTTACAACAGCGCTGATAAAAGTGACTTATGATCGTTTTTCACCTTTACGACTTCAACTCCCAGAATCCCCCAGCCATCATGCTTCAAAATGGGTGGACTTCAAGTTCCAGAATTCCCCAGTTAGTATACTTCAAGATTCCCAGAATTCCACAATCAGAATGCTTTAAGATATATGGATTTCAAATCCCAAAACTCCCTACCTAGCATCTTTTAATATGGGCGGACTTCAACTCCCAGAATTCTCCAGTCAGAACACTTTATGAGATATGGATTTCAAATCCCAGAATTTCCCAGTCTGCATGCTTTTAAGTGGGGGACCAAACTCCCAGAATTCCCCAGCCAGCATGCTTTAAGATATATGGATTTCAATTCCCAAAACTCCCCACCTAACATCTTTTAATATGGATGAACTTCTACTCCCAGAATTCCCCAGCCAGCATGCTTTAAGACAGAGGTCTTCAAACTTGACAGCTTTAAGACTGGTGGACTTCAACTCCCAGAATTCCCTAGCCAGAAGGTTGAAGTTGAAGTCCACCCATCTTAAAGCATGCCGGCTGGGGGATTCTGGGAGTTGAAGTCCACCCCTCTTAAAGCATGCCGGCTGGGGGATTCTGGGAGTTGAAGTCCACCCCTCTTAAAGCATGCCGGCTGGGGGATTCTGGGAGTTGATGTCCACCCCTCTTAAAACATGCCAGCTGGGGGATTCTGGGAGTTGAAGTCCACCCTTCTTAAAGTAGCCAAGTTTGAAAACTGCTCTACAGGCTCAGTTGATAAGGTTCTCTCCTTGGAATTAGTCAGAAATTTTTGTGATTAGATTAGAAATTAGAAAAAGTTGCACACGACACACAACACTCCTTGATTGCTCAGGATGAAAACACAGGCAAACCGAAGGCGGAGAAGCCCCTCACCTCAAAAAAATGTTATTGCATTGCTTGCGAATATACGCCCGGAGGCCCAGGAATTTGCCGTAAACCCGGTGAAGGATGGTCTTGAGGTATTCACGTTCCCTGGGGTCTTCGCTGTCGAACAATTCTAGCAGCTGGAGGAGGGCGAAAGAGAAAAAGAGAGCATTGGCAAGGTTTTGGAGAAAGGCATCCTAATGGGCAAGGATAGAATTGTTATATTTTATTATTCTGTTCTGTTCTGTTCTATTCTACTCTATTATTCTGTTCTGTTCTGGTCTAGTCTATGCTTTTACAGAATAACATCCTATCCTAATTTTAGAATGTTATTTTATCTTCGCCTTGGGCCCGTTTCTCATTCGTGGGGAAGCTCTTCCTAGCGTAGGCATGTTCTGACTTAGGCTTCCTTAAAAAGCACGAAGCTGAGTCTTGGTCCCAGCAAAACCCCTTTTATTGACACGACTGTGAATCCCTTTCATTCACAGTCAGCAAGGCCTGTCCAAACAGTCTTTCAGAGGAATACTTATCAACACAGACCTTATCTCGCTTGGAAAGCTGCCAGATAACTAGTTTCCATACGTAGTACAAGGCCAAACTTGGCACAGTCTCTGGGATTCACGGACAGATCTTCCCACTCTTGAAACGAACGAAAGAACAAATTGTTTCCTGCAGAAGCCCCCTCCCCGTTCGCTCCTCTTTTGTTTCCTATGGGAGGGGCCAATCACCTCCAAGGTGTGGCTTTTACTCCCAAGTCGATCCTGCTTTCTGAGTTGTTCTTGTCTTCTGGCAGCTCTGTTCATGCTGGGAACAGGCTCCAGCTGTTCCTGTGCCTCGCTGCTGTCTACCTCCCTCTCTGCCTCCGATGCAGAGGCCTTGATCGAGCTTTCCCCAGCCCCCAGGACTGGCCCACGTTCCTCCCCAACCTCCTCACTGTCTGACTCTGCTGCCAGCTCCTCTGGCCACCGGTGGGACACGCAGATCATTCTCAACATATGACCTCAATTGGTACCAGAATTTTGGTTGCTGAGCTAGTCATCATATGACTAGGCCAGATTTTATTCCAGGGTAGTCCTTGACTTACAAGCATTCGTTTAGTGACCGCAGCTACAAAAGCACTGAAAGAAGTGACTTACGACCTTGTTTCACACTTATGACCGTTGCAGCATCCCCACGATCACATGGTCAATATTTAAATGCTTGGCAACTGGAATGTACTTATGACGGTTGCAGCATCCTGATCACATGATTCACAGGTTACATGATCCTCTTTCTGCGACCTTCTGACAAGCAGAGTCAAGGGGGAAGCCAGAGTCACTTAACAAGTGCAATAACTCACTTAAGAACTTTGGCAAGAAAAGTTGTAAAAAGGAGAAAAATCACTTAACTACTGTTTTGCTTAGCAGCAGAAATTTTGGGTTCAATTGTGGTCATAAATCAAGGACTACCTGTACCTTATTTTGCTATGGTTATTAAGCGAATCATACAGTTGTTAAGAAAATCCGGAAGCCAGCGGGATAATTGCATGACTGCATGAGGCTTTTTTCTCTTTCAATGGTCCTTGCAACAGGTAGAAAAAAAAATTACTTAATTCAAATAATCTAAATTCTATAGTAATTAGTTAGCATGCAGAATTTGGGCACTAGAGGGATCATCCTGGATCTCAACAGACCAAGCTGCATTGAATGTTGAGGAGTTTCCAGAGAGCAAACAAGAACAGAAAATACAGAATAAGAGTGTTGGAAGGGACCTCGGAGGTCTTCTAGTCCAACCCGCCCTATTTTAGGAAAGGAACAAAGTCACTGAAAATAGAGCAAAGTTTTGCTTGCGGAGGAAGCCGGGAAGATCAGCGATGGAGCCAAGCCGTGGGAACGCAGGAGAGGTCAAGGAACTTTTCCCCTGCAAGCGGATCGTGTTTCAGCTTCTTCCAAAGCTTAATTGCCCTGCAAATTTAAATGTAGACTTACGTCTGCAATATAAGCTTATAATATATTTATGGCTGCTTAGTCAGTTATATCTGAGAGGTACACATGTCTATCCAGGCAGGCAATTTATTCTTGGAGGGAGCTACACCCTTCTTAATTATTATTATTATTATTATTATTATTTTAACCAGACGCGCCCAGAAATTAACAGAATATTTTTCTTTTCACTGCAGGGATTTTTGGAAGTGAAGTCTCTTTGAGTTGAGCCTCACTTTCTGGCGACTTGGTAAACATGGCCCCACACAGTTATTTTGGGAGTGGTTTTTCTGTCGATTTTTGGATCCCAGTGACTCTTTTTAAAAAAAAAAAAATGCACGGGTTTTAAGTCACCCGTCTTTGAATTGCAATCAATCAAGCGATCAAAAGTTTCATTTACAGTCCAAGACCAAACACAATCAAGGGAACCAGCAACGATTAAGGAAAAAGGAATTTTTAAAATTTTTTAAATTTTAAATTGATTTTAAATTGGGTTGTTTTAATTTACGGCCAAAATATCTAATTATTTTAAATTGTTTTTAAATTTTGTATGTCCTGTTTTTTACTTTGGCTGTTCACCGCCCTGAGTCCTATTTGGAGAAGGGCGGTATAGAAATTGAAACAAATAAATAAATAAATAAATAAATAAAATCTGAGTGAAAACCTTTTAAAAAGTTAGCAGTTAACAATTAATAGCAAGAGCAGAGTGTCAGGTATTGGAAGGGTTCTCGCTGCTTCGCGAGTTTGCCATTGTTCCCAAAGAATAGAATAGAATATAACTTTATTACAATGGCGAAATCCAATTTTTTTTTACTACCGGTTCGGTGGGCGTGGCTTGGTGGGCGTGGTGTGGCTTGGTGGACGTGGCAGGGAAAGGATACTGCAAAATCCCCATTCCCTCCCCACTCCTGGGGGAAGGATACTGAAAATCTCCATTCCCACCACACTCCAGGGGAAGGATACTGCAAAATCCCCATTCTCTCCTCACTCCAGGGGAAGGATATTGCAAAATCCCCATTCCCTCCCCACTCCAGGGGAAGGATATTGCAAAATCTCCATTCCCTTCCCACTCCAGGGGAAGGATATTGCAAAATCCCCATTCCCTCCCCACTCCAGGGGAAGGATACTGCAAAATCTCCATTCCCTCCCCACTTCAGGGGAAGGATATTGCAAAATCTCCATTCCCTTCCCACTCCTGGGGGAAGGATACTACAAAATCCCCATTCCCTCCCCACTCCAGGGGAAGGATATTGCAAAATCCTCATTCCCTCCCCACTTCAGGGGAAGAATATTGCAAAATCTCCATTTCCACCCCACTCTGGGGTCAGCCAGAAGTGGTATTTGCCGGTTCTCCAAACTGCTCAAAATTTCCGCTACCCGGTTCTCCAGAACCTGCAGGATTTCACCCCTGTTTTATTTCGGTCATAGACCAGCAATAGACATCACTGTTTACAATATATTAAAAAACAGTACTGACATTAACAGTGGATAATAACACCGCTGTTCAGAAAATACATGTTCTCAAACAGTGACCTGAGCGGAGAGCTGATACGTGTGTGAGTAAATATAATTTCCCGAAAATGGTCAAGAGATATCTCCAAAAAATTGGCCCAAAGTTGACAGCTATAATTCTGTAACCATTTTTTTTTCCTTGTGGACATTGCAGCCGCACAGAATTTTGCCACTCCTAGGGTTATAAGTCCCCCATCTTTGAATTGTGATATTTCCGTGTACAAGTACTAGCAATAAAGTTTTACGAGCCCGTCTTTGAAGTGCAGCGTAAAGCGCTGTAATTAAAATATCCTGCTAATTGTTATTGCGGGGTGTTGCTTGATAGCAATTAGCCCCCAGAGATAGAGAGTTGGGGAGGGGGGGGTTTCCCCAGGTCTGTTGTGTTAGAGATGCAGCTTTCCCAATGCAATTCCGAGCCGTGGGTACCTTCCCACGACCTGCTGGATTTCCAACATTGTTGACAGTTGTATGCACTTCTGTTGGCAATGCCCAAGAGCTCTGGTCTTTCCCTTCCGAAAAATAGCGGGAAAAGAGCGAAAGGAGGTGTCATGCGTGTTATTCCAGTCATGCCTCCAAGCTGGATTACAATGAAGGGAAAGAGATAGCACATGTATGTGCTTCAACATATGAGGCCTCTGTCTTGTGGGATGCCGTGTAAATTCTCACGGGGGCCTCTGCTTTCTCGTGTAGGATCCCGTTGTACGAGCCGTGGTGGCGGGGTGGTTAGGATGGAGTATTATTGCAGGCTGACTCTGCCGACTGCCAGGAGTTCGATCAGGCCGGTAAAATGAGGACCCAGATTATTGGGGGCAAGAGGCTGATTCTGTAAACCACTTAGAGAGGGCTGTAAAGGCACTATGAAGCGGTATATAAGTCTAAGTGCTATTGCTGCTCGCTCCTCCCTCCCTCCCTCCCTCCCTCCCTCCCTTCCTTCCTTCCTTCCGTCCTTCCTTCCGTCCTTCCTAAAGGTTGACTCAGCCTTCCATCCTTCCAAGGTGGGTCAAATGAGGACCCAGATTGTTGGGAGCAAGAGGCTGACTCTAAACCTCTCAAAGAGCTCCAAAGCACTGTGAAGAGGAATATAAGTCTTAAGTGCTACTGTTATTTTTCTTCCTTCCTTCCTTCCTTCCTTCCTTCCTTCCTTCCTTCCTTCCTTCCTAGTGGTTAAGAGTGTAGTATTGCAGGCTAATTCTGCCCGAGTGCCAGCAGTTCGATCCTAACCAGCTCAAGGTCTACTCAACCATCCATCCTTCCGAGGTGGGTAAAATGAGGATCCAGATTGTTGGGGGCAAGAGGCTGTAAAGACTCTGTAAACCGCTTAGAGAGGGCTGTAAAAGCACTGTAAAGCGGTATATAAGTCTAAGTGCTCTATTGCTCTTCTTTCCTTATCTTCCTTCCTTCCCTCCCTCCCTCCCTCCTGTGGTGGAACAGTGGTTAGAAGGCAGGATTGCAGGCTAATTCTGCCCACAGCCAGGAGTTAGAAGCAGGATATAAGTTTAAGTGCTATTGCTACTTTGTTTTCCCCAAAATAAGTCATCCCCTGATAATAAGCCCAATCGGGCTTTTGAGCGCATGGCAATAAGGCCAAGCGCTTATTTCAGGGTTCAAAAAAATATAAGACAGGGTCTTATTTTGGGGGAAACACGATATTTTCCTTCCTTCCTTCCTTCCTTCCTTCCTTCCATCCGTCCTTCCTTCCTTCCTTCCTTCCTTCCTTCCTAAAGGTTGACTTAGCCTTCCGTCCTTCCAAGGTGGGTCAAATGAGGGCCCAGATTGTTGGGGACAAGAGGCTGATTCTGTAAACCGCTTAGAGACAGCTGGAAAGGCACTGTGAAGCGGTATATAAGTAAGTGCTATTGACCTTCCTTCCTTCCTTCCTTCCTTCCTTCCTTCCTTCCTTCCTTCCTTCCTTCCTTCCTTCCTTCCTAAAGGTTGACTCAGCCTTCCATCCTTCTGAGGTGGGTAAAATGAGGACCCAGATTGTTGGGGGCAAGAGGCTCACTCTGTAAACCGCTTAGAGACGGCTGGAAAGGCACTGTAAAGCGGGATATAAGTCTAAGGGCTTTTGCTGTATGAATTCTCACGGTTGCCTCTGCTTCCTCACGTGGGATTGCGTGTAAATCCTCTGCTTTCCCCCTGCAGATGCTCCGGTTTCAGAGCTCCACGACCTTCTGTGCAAGAAGCTTCAGCAATGCTCCATCGTCTTCGACTTCCTGGACTGCGTGGCTGACCTGAAGGGCAAGGAGATCAAGCGGGCAGCCCTGAATGAGCTGGTGGAGTGCGTGGCCACCAACCGTGGCATCCTCATTGAGCCACTCTATCCCGAGATCATCAAGATGGTAAAAGGCTGGCTGAAAAAACGCAGAAAGTGGGGAGGGGGGGCAGAGTAGTGGGGCCAGTGGGGTACGATGGGCAGGGGCGGGTAGGAGCCTGAACTCGTATTACAGGTCGTCCTTCACTTAACGACCGCAGTAGAGCCCCGAATGTCTGTTGCTAAGTGAGACAGTAAGTGAGCTTTGCTCCATTTTACGATCGATCTTGTTGCGTTGTTAAGTGAATCACCGCGGTGGTTACATTAGCAACACGGTTGTTAAGTGAATCTGGCTTCCCCACGAACTTTGAAAAGGTCGCAAAAGGGGGATCGCACGACCTTGGGACACTGCACTCGTCATAAATGTGGGTCAAGTGGCCAATTTTGAGATCACGTGACCATGGAGATGCTGCAGCGGTCGTTAAGTGTGAGAAACGGTCCTCAAGTCACTGTTTTCACTGCCGTCGTAACTTTGGGAGGTCACTAAACGAACCGTTGTAAGTCGAGGTCTCCCTGCAACCAGCCTTCTTGAGTTTTTATATTGATCCGTTGCTCTTTTTTTCTGAAAGTAAGAAGGGAAAAAAAAATCCACACGGAAGAAAATGGAACAATGGAATGACTTATCCAAAGCATTACTCATCCTTAGACTTATCAAATTGAAGGTGAGGCTGAATGGAAGATGACAGACAGGCTGTCAAAAGGAAGAAAAGATCCGATCCCTTTTATATCGTTGTTTTCGGGGAATCTTGAGAAGTGAAATTATAACTTCTTTGTCGAAATTTAAATGATAACTTCTTTCAGTTTTCACGCCTTTGCAGTTAAATTCTTTGGAGATCTCATCTTAAGATCTTTCAGTCTTCCGATAGTTTAAAAAAAGGGACTGTCAAACCCGAATGTGGGAGCCGCGTTCCATAAAATGCGTTAATTAGTGGGTCGTGCTCATAAACATGCAAGAAACAGCCGACGTTTATTCATTATTCATCGCTTAAATTAGCAAAACAAACGAATGTATAATGGCTCACGGTTTAATCATTTTAAAAAAATTAACCTAAAATGGCACTATGGGTGGCTAAGGGAGCCAGTCTGGCGTTGTAGTTTGGGTGCCAGGCTAGAAACCAGGCAAGGGTGAGTTCTAGTCCCGCCTTAGGCACGAAGCTAGCTGGCTGACCTTGGGCCTGTCACTCTCCCTCAGCCCTAGGAAGGAGGCAATGGCAAACCACTCAGAACTAAGGAGAAATTTCCTGACAGTGAGAACAATTCATCCGTGGAACAACTGGCCACCAGAAGTTGTGAATGCTCCAACACTGGAAGTTTTTAAGAAGAGATTGGATAACCATTTCTCTGAAGTGGTGTAGGGTTTCCTGCCTAAGCAGGGGGTTGGACTAGAAGACCTCCAAGGTCCCTTCCAACTCTGTGATTCTATTCTAAAATTCACTTGTGAAAAACCTTGCCAAAAAACCTGCAGGGACCAGTCCAGTCAGTTGCTAGGAGTCAACACTGACCTGAACAAAAAATGGATGTATAATAAAAGCAAAAAACAGTATAACCGAGTTGGGAGGGACCTTGGAGGTCTTCTAGTCCAACCCCCTGCTCAAACAGGAGGCTCTATACCATTCCGGACAAATGGCTGTCCAGTCTCTTCTTAAAAGCCTCCAGTGATGGTGCGCCCACAACTTCTGGTGGCAAGCTGTTCCACGGATGAATTGTTCTCACTGTCAGGAAATTTCCCCTTAGTTCTAAGGTTGAATCTCTCCTGTTGTTTTATTTTTATTTTTTTCTCTTAGGCTTAGCTGTGGATCTGAAGCTTGCGTGGAGTCTGTTTTGGTTAGCTCATTTGACCTTGAAAAGTTGTCTTATTTCGAGGTTTTTGGCTTGGGCTGATCTCTCCCTTCTCCTTCCAGATCTCTGTCAACATTTTCCGAATTCTTCCACCCAGCGAAAACCCCGAGTTCGATCCCGAAGAAGATGAGCCAAACCTGGAACCGTCTTGGCCCCATCTCCAGGTAAGAGGCCTTCTGAAGGCCATGAAATTAATAGCAATAGCATTTAGACTTATCTACCGCTTCATAGTGCTTTCCAGCCCCCTCTAGGTGGTTTACAGAGTGAGCCTCTTGCCCCCAACAATAATCCCGGGTCCTCATTTTAACCACCTCGGAAGGACGGAAGGCTGAGTCAACCTTTAGGAAGGAAGGAAGGAAGGAAGGAGGAAAGGAAAGAAGACGGAAAGGAAGGAAGGAAGGAAGGAAGGAAGGGAGAAAAGGAACAATAGCAGTAGCCCTTAGACTTAAATACCACTTCACAGTACTTTGCAGCCCCCTCTAAGGGGTTTACAGAGTCAGCCACTTGTCCCCAACAATCTGGGTCCTCATTTTACCCACCTCAGAAGGAAGGAAGGCTGAGTCAACCTTTAGGAAGGAAGGAAGGAAGAAAGGAAAGAAGAAGGAAAGGAAGGAAGGAGGAAAGGAAAGAAGAAGGAAAGGAAGGAAGGAAGGAAGGAAGGAAGGGAGAAAAGGAACAATAGCAATAGCCCTTAGACTTATCTACCGCTTCTAGTGCTTTCTAGTGCTTTCCAGCCCCCTCTAAGCAGTTTTCAGAGTCAGCCTCTTGTCCCCAACTATCTGGGTCCTCATTTGACCCACCTCGGAAGGACAGAAGGCTGAGTCACCCTTGAGCCAGTCAGGATTGAACTGCTGGCAGTAGGCAGAGTTAGCATTCTGCACAACTGGGGAGGGGAGGGAGAGAGGGAGGAAGGAAGGAAGGAAGGAAGGAAGGAAGGAAGGAAGGAAGGAAGGAAGGAAGGATGGAAGGAAGGAAAATTGCAATAGCCCTTAGACTTATATACTGCTTCACAGTGCCTTTACAACCCTCTCTAAGCGATTTACGGAGTCAGCCTCTTGCCCCTCAACAATCTGGGTCCTCATTTGACCCACCTTAGAAGGATGGAAGCTTGAGTCGACCTAGAGCCGGTCAGAATCGAACTGCTGGCAGTGGGCAGAGTTAGCCTGCAACCCTGCATTGTAACAGGAAGGAAGGAAGGACGGGTGGGTGGGTGGAAGGAAGGAAGGAAGGAAATGAAAAGGAAGGAAGGAAACAGGATGGATGAATGGATGGATGGATGGAAGGAAAGAAGGAAGGAAGGGCAATAGCACTTAGACTTATATACCGCTTCATAATGCTTTTACAGCCCTCTCTAAGCGG